GAAGGAGGAGGAGTCGGAGTCGGGAGTAGAGAAAGAAATGGTTGTTTGGAACTATTGGCTGCTCCATGACACGCTTTACGTCCACATTCCTCAGTTCCTATGGAAGCCTATGGAAGTGTCACCACTCTGTTTCTCAACGGCTCTGGATCAGGCATGCAAGAGGATTTAACCCCCGCTGCCTGGCCAGGGCCAGTATAGCCTGTGAGGTTCTCTGGCTTGTCCCAGACAAAAGACGGGATGCTGGGACAGAATAATAATTTTTGTTGTTTTTTGCTGTATTGTACTGTACTGTACCACAAGCAACACTTATTACCGGTTTTTGTAGTATTGTTTTGAATTTATCTCATCAGTGTGTAAGACTATGTTGTAGTTAGGGCTGTGCGATTAATCGAAATCGAATCGAAATCGCGATTTAAGACGTTGAGATTTGCTAATCGCAAAGCCTGCGATGTGGACGCGATATTACTCTGTTCCAGAGCATATGCATGACTGCCAGCTTTGAGTTGCAGTCTTACTTGCCCTGGGCAAGAGTGAGCGCACCTCCGTTCTCCCCAATCAGCACTGCTCTAGCCAACTGCATAAACCCACCATAAAAAAAAAAAAAAATACGGAAAGCGGGATGGGAGAGAGACAGAGTGGGATTATGGCGTCTACTGGGTCAGATTGATAGTTAGGCAAATTAAAACTAAAGAAAAACGTATGAAACTTAAACGACAGACAACGAACAAAAAAGGTAATTTGCAAGAGCTGCGTCACAGCGCATATCAAGAGCTCCCTTATCGGTTCTGTTCTTCAGCCCGGACCCAGAGCGCTCCTCCAAAGATGCAATTACTACGGGACAGCAGCCAGAGAGGAGCACTGATAACCCCCCAAAATAGCAAAATTGACTTAAATTTGATGGGGTGCTGGAATTGTAGTAGCGGCACTGCTGAGGCTTAGAAGAGAGAACTAGAGGCTTCTGCGGAAGCGGGCGCTGCTGCGGCATCTGAAAAGAAAACCCCTGTGGGTGTGGGAACTACTACGGCATCTGGTAAGAGAAAATGGCTTCTGCGGAAGCAAGCGCTGCTGCAGTGTAAAATACAGATAATGGCTCCAGCGGGAGCGGGAACTGCTGCGGCAGTGGGAAAATATGAAAAAGCTGCTGCGGCGGAGGAGAAACATGGAAGAGTTCCTGTGGAGCGGCGAGCAAGGAAAAGTTGGGGAATGGCAGGTTGTAGGCAGAGTGAAATGCTTTAAAGCACTTCCAAGCTGTTAGGTAAGATTGTAGGGTCCTGGGGGAGACGGCTTGAAGAATAGAATTGAGGGAAGCTTCGAGGAGAGGTCTCAGTGGATGATTTATGGGAATATCAGTTCTGAATAGGGAGGTACTGGGGTTGGGACTGGATCCGCCTCTGGTGCCAACGTTCTGAATTTCTGGAAGGCAAAGCAAGAGAGAGAGTCGGCTATTTGTTTTTTTGAACCAGGAATGTGTTTTTCAGTTACAATGAATTGGTCGCAAGCCGAGATCCAAATCAGGCGTCTTAACAAAGGCATTAGGATGGGTGAATGTGAACGGCCTTTATTGATGCAGTGCACGGTAGCCTCATTGTCGCAGTGGATAATGATGCTGGTGGCGGACCACTCCTTACCCCACAGAAGGGCTGCAACGACTAAGGGATATAGCTTGAATAGAGCTGAGGATTTTAGCCGTTGTGGTAAGTCTAATAGCTGGGGGGGCCACGTAGATGCAAACCTGCGGCCTTGGTAAAATCCTCCGAAACCAACAGAGGGGGCGGCGTCAGTAAATAACTGAATGTTGACGGGTGAAGATATCCATAAGCAGAGCTCGTTGCAGCACGAATCGGTTAGTGATACTCGATCCTCTAGTGCGTGGGCGGAGGACGCGAGAGAGAGGAGATGTGAGATGAAAGGGCGGCCCTGCGGGATGATGCGCATCGCGAAATTTAGATGACCAAGAATGGATAGCAGCTCGCGTTTGGAGTAGCTTGGGTTGTCTAAGAGGGTCGAAGCGACCAAGATCGTCCTATCAACTTTTTCCTTCGGCAGAGAAGCCTGGAATTTTTGAGAATCTAAGTTGATACCCAAAAATTCGATGGAGGTGCTCGAGCCCGCGGTTTAGTCTTGGGCGAGAGGAATCCTGAGCTCTGCAAAAACCTTTTGGGTTGTCAAAAGATGCACGGCTGGGATGGAGTCGGGAGGCGAAATGATTAAGAAATCGTCTAAAAGATGGATCAGGTAGGGTATTGCGTAATTGTTGGAGAGGATCCAGCAGATTGCCTCTGACAACATGTCGAAAATTTTTGGGCTGCTTCTACAGCCGAAAGTTAGGCGGATGAAAAAGTAAAATTTATTATGCCAGCGGATGCCAAATAAATGCCAAAAATCAGAGTGAATGGGCATCACTTTAAAGGCAGAGGTGATGTCGACTTTGGCCAGCCAAGCGCTGAGACCCGTGTTTTTGATCAGGGTAATGGCTTGGTCAATGTCATGGTAGTGGAGAGAAAATTCTTTGAGTGGAATGAGGCTGTTAACGTTTGGGAACGGGGAATTATGCGGGGATGAGAGATCGATTATGAGGCATTTTTTGCCTGAGAATTTCCTGGTAGCTACACCGATGGGGCTAACACGGAGAGAGCGGACTGGAGATTGGGGCAGATGAGGCTTTGGGAGGGGAGTTTTCCGACACCGGGGTGAAAGCCATGAGAGAGACCCGATAGTAGATAATCCGTAAAAAGGGAGTCAGGGTGATGAAGCAATTCTGAAGACAAACAAGAAACATTTATAGGAGTCGATAGGTATTGTTTAACATTTTTATTTGCAGCTTTTTGCACTGGACATATCAAGTGGGAGTGAGCGCCGCCACAAAAATTGCAAACATGCATGAAACGGCAGCGCTGCCTTGAGCATCTGCCAGTATTAAAACTACCGCAGACCTGGCTATCAGAGGGAGCTGAGCGGCGGCGGTAGGTGGAAGTTGGGGGAAAGGGGGTGGTTGGGATGTCTAGGAGACGCGGGACATAGCTGGTGGATTTGGGCTGGGATGGCTCGGGGCAGGGGGGAATAGATGGGTTGATTAGAGGGCATGTAATGGTGGAGTGGGCGACGGATCGGCAGACCACGCAAGATATGTTGCAGCTGCCTAAAAATACTCTGTTATGGAGTTCGGTGTCCAAGGCCCCCCAGTAAGGACATTGGTTCCACTGGGCCACTCGGATGGCGCATTTAGCTGCGAATAATTTGTGGTAAGTGTAAAAGTGAGAGCCACCATATGATAACGCAAGTTCAGCAACTATCGCTAGATAATCGACGAGCTCGCGTCTCCTGTGAGGAAAGACAGTGCAGATGACTTCTATGTAACGGGTGAAAGCGATTGTGAATTCAGCAAATGAAAAAATTTGTGATTGGTTGTGAGCTGTGTTTTTTAAAGTGACAGAAAATCCGCCGCAGTCGATTTGGCGATCTGCAGACGATGGTGAAATTGGTGACAAAAGGGAAAAAAGATCTACGTCCACACCTGCCAAGATCTGTGTCCTGATGTTGCTGGCCACGGGGGGTGGTTCCAAGGCGAGGGCGTTCGGAGGGGTGGGTAGAGGCGTGGCGGAAGAAAGTGAGAAGGAAGAGCGAGCGAGGGGAAGTGGAAAGGTATTCACCGGAAGCGCTTGCGGAGGCACGCTCACGCATGGGGCAATTCCGGGGATGGAATAGGAAGGGGGAAAGAGAGGGGGAATGACGGGCATTGGGGCCTGCGTCATTAGCGGAGGCATGCTCACGCTAAGAACAGCTCCGGGAGCGGAAGAAAAAGGAGGAAAAAAGAGAGGGGGAATGGTGGGCGTCGGGGCCTGCACCATTAGCGGAGGCACGCTCGTGCTGGAGATGGACGGTGTGGCTGCGGGCCATGGGTAGGGAAGGGGGTACGGGGAGGTGTGAGGCGAGGGTTGCGGGTAGATCTGCGCCGCTAGCGGAGGCGTGCTCACGCTGACGTGGCGGCTTGTGGAGACTGGAGCTGGTACTTCGCCGAGATGAGATGTGAGCTGATGCTCGGTGGACGGAGGAGGGGGTCTGGGGCTGGCAGTATCCAGGGCGCGCCACAGGCTTGAAGGAGTGAAAGTGAAAGTGACGTGACATGTGGCCAAGTATGGTGACCCATACTCGGAATTAGTGCTCTGCATTTATCCCATCCAAAGCCCTGTACATTCCCTCCCCCCACCACAATCCCTGCCGGTACTAGACTCGAACCTGCAACCTTGGGTTACTAATCTGACTCTCTAACCATTAGGCCACGACTTCCCCCGCTTTATCCGCGGCCTTGGATGGAGGAGTAGAGCTTGGAGGCACCCCTGTTTGGAGGGAAGTATAGAGGGAGAGGAGATCCGACTTGACCGACCGTCGTGGGACATTGACGCTGGAGCTAATGAGCGCCTGACATAGTCCGGTCACAGTCCATTTCTCCGCAGCTGGGGCGGAGGAGAGGGCTGAAGTGTAGGAGGACGGTGCGCTGAACGGCGACTGGAGACACCGGAGAACCCGTGGTGTCAAACGCGTTGTTGCCAGGGAAAAGTTCGATCTCTGACATGTTTGCAGCGATTGAATGTGCCAATGCTGAAAGACTAGAGATAATGGAGGTAAGGCTGCTTTGATTATTTATAGAGGTTCTCTCTTGTGCTGATTGGATAGATGGTGTAATTACTGATGATGAACTGGCCGTGTTAATTATCTGCGCGTGCTCCTCCCGAAACTTGTTAATAAAACATCACTTATCGAATAGGCTGTGCGATTTTTTTTAGACAATAATTCTCCATGTTTTCGGTGCTGATGTGCTGGTGATGCTTTGGCGTTTGAGAGGGCTCCTCGAGCTGAAGGGATCCCCCGACTGGTGGAGAACCGCCGGCGCGTTTGCGAGATAGTGACACCAGTCAACACTTTCACTTCAGTAAGGAGGTCTCTTGTTCAGGCAGCAACATTCGAGCATTGGCTTATTCGACCGTAAGTGCCCTGCGAAGTGGACTTCACATGAAATTCTGCCATGATTCCAGCTGCAAGGGAACGTACACGTTACATTCAAAGTGCATTAAAGTGCGCAAAAGTGAATTTATATTTAGGGATGCACCGAATGTTCGGCAACCGAACAAGCGAAAAAAGACCGAATAAATTGTACGGAAACAATGATATGACGCTATCAAATAGCAACCAGCGCAGAGTGAGAGGCGCGCACTCTTTATTATGCACACACATTTATAAATCTGTTATCAACAAAAAATAAGCACTGAGGTCTTCCTGCACGTTTCCGCCAAAGTAAAAGTTGAGAAAAAGCAAATACTCTTATCAACATTCATAAATATGTTAGTATTGTAATTTTACTGTTGTTCTGTAAAATAAAATAAAAAGACAATAATAATGATAATAATCATTACAACAGCTCTATTTTAATACATTTATTATAACATTCACACATAGTGTTCAAATTAGGATCTGTAATATTTTCTAATGTTTTAAGAAGTCTCTTCTCAGCAAGGCTGCTTTTAATCATTCGCAGATGATTTTATTGCACAATTATGAAATCGAAGAAATCGTTGGCGATAATAACAGCTGTTTGCATAGCTTCTCGGTGAACTACGGCTCTGTGTAGTAAATGCTGCTCCATCTGAAAGCATGTGAAAATACCACATTTAATAACATATTTTTACTCCAAACTCACTTTATAACGTCAGTCGAGTGTTTTAAATAAATCCTTCTGTGAGATGATGTGGCTTCTTACACAGAATAAGGCACGCAACATATTTCATAGTATTTAAGCAGTGATAAAGGCATTGCATTATAAATATACTTTATTTTAATGAAAATTATAATAATAAGAACTTAGATAAATTGCCAGATATATTGCCGTAGTCGTGTGTTTTTTTACTAGCAGTTGCTAGTGAAAATTACACTAAAATGTTGCAATGACGAAATATTGCACTGAATTACAGTTCAAATGTTACAAATAAGTTACAATATTGATGTTGTGATACTGGTAGCACTAATATAAATACTTGATACACGTTACAAAAAAGTAACAATTTGGAAACTGCAGTATTTTTTTGTCTTTTATCTCAGTGTTCCTATCAATGTTATATAAGGGTTTTTTATGCATAATATTAACCATAGAATGTGATCAAACAGTTTAAAGTAGCTGGGCTGAGATATATAACAATGTTTAATGCAGACATGTGTTAATTCAGTAGCCTACACACATTTTCCCACCGGTCACAATTGTGACGGACCATTAATTATTGATTATTTCAAAGGGATATCATCATTTGGATATTTTCATGTCTGGGAAAAAAAATTGGGATTAAATGGGTTAATGACATTTTGCCCATACATCCCTTCATATGTAGTGCAATACTCTAATACGACAAATCTCATGTGAATACAGATTACAAACAAACAGAGACCAAACCTTTACCGCACTCTCAAAATACTGTAATAAATGTGATCTGCTAAAGATGAATATCAAGAGAGAGATAACCAATAAAACCGCAGCAGCAACATTGATATTGTTCTGCATCCATTACAATAGTCTAAACAGTGAGAAACTGAGGATGGCTCACCTCTCCTCAGAAGACTGGACTCTACTCTACAGCTGCTGCTGCTGCTGCTGCTTCTTCTTCTGTGGGTTTAGTGGCGAGTTGCAGACCAGCTTCTAGGTGCATATCGCCACCTCCTGTGCTGGAGTGTGAAGGGATTTCAGTCTAGCTGTGCATTTTTAAATCTATATTCTGTTCTTAAGATCACTATTTTAATGTATTTTAAAACAGCTTTTATAATTTAATTTAATTTAATATATATATATATATATATATATATATATATATATATATATATATATGTGTGTGTGTGTGTATGTGTGTGTGTGGTTGTACATACACATATATGCAGTTGTTTTTTGGTGTTTGGCTTAGTGTTATGTTAGAATCATTATTATACTCTTATACCTTTTGTTCTTTGAATTGTTTTTAGCTTTATTATTTAAATGTTAAGTTTTGAAATTTTGTTGTATGCGTTTGTCATTTTTTATTTAATATCTTTATTTTTAAAACGTGCATAGGTAGCATTTATAAAGTTTTAGCTTTTAGTTTTGGATCTGTTTTTAGTTGTTTTAATGCTACAATTGATTGCTTCTGTTGTTCTCATTTGTAAGTCGCTTTGGATAAAAGCGTCTGATAAATGACTAAATAATAATAATAATTTTACCTGATCCTTGATTTGTATTTAACACATTTCTGATTGTAAATCTTTGCATCCCATATGCAATATTCCACTTTCCTTGCCACTTATATATTTAACATTCCTTCCTCTCTTCCACAATGCTCCATCATCGCCATACAATGCTGTTTTAATTCCTGCATGAATTCCTTCAAACACATCATTAATCATAATATGAAATAAAACCGGACTTAGAGCAGAACCCTGAGGTGTCCCATTTTCTACACTCACCATCTGAGATCATGTATTACTCACTTTGACTTGAATTGATCGACCAAATAAGAAACGTAAAACCCAATTATAAATTCTTATTCTCTGCAACTTTAATAACAATCCTTCTATCCACATAATATCGTATGCCTTTTCAATATCTAAAAAGACTCCCACTAACATTGATAATGCTTTCTTTATATCAGTTTCTGATCTTATTAATGCATCTAACGTAGATCTACCAGGTCGAAAGCCAAACTGATAAGCTGCTATTAATCATTTGCTTTCTAAGACATACTGTAAACTATTAATAATCATCTTCTCCATCATTTTGCATAAGTTGGATGTCAGAGCAATCGGTCTATAATTTCCGGCTTATGAAGAATCTTTTCCTGGTTTAAGAATGGGATCTATGATTGCTTGTTTCCAGGATGAAGGCGGTTGTCCTTCCATCCATATTTATTAAAGAAATCCAATAATATTTGAAGTAATACTTCATCCATATGTTTAATCATCTTATAGCTCATTTGGTCCGTTCCTGGTGCAGTGTCACTAACCCTCATTAATACCCTTTTTAGTTCCCACATTTTAAAGGTAGCACCTAAAGCTGTTTGAAAAAATAAAAAAATTATAAATTATTATTCTCTGCTACTATCTCTGTGTAAACGTCCCAAAGTGGATTATGAGAATCCCTACGCCATATCAAATTATCCCCAGCCTTGTTTCTTATTCTATTTAATTAATCTAGCGATAACTCCTTGCATGGATTATAAAGGTTTATCACCTTTATTCCCCCTTCACGTGTCCACACACCTCTACAACAACACATTCACTTTGAGTATCTAATACTATTTCTCTAAAAGCTACCCCCTCTTTCACACATCCCCCACCACTTGCTCCAATTCGGTCCTTCGACTGAACTTGCTTGACCGTTTGATATATTTTGTCTCTCATCACTTCTTGCACTCTTTTTTGGGCTTCACAGCCTAGATATGCTGCACTGTGTGGTCCTCCACAGTTGCAACATTTCTCCACATTGTCCATATTCATGATCTCCGCCACATTTACAGCATCTTTTTTTCCCTTTACAAACTGCTGCTACATGTCCCAATCTTTGACAATTGAAACATCTCATTACTGGTCTCACATAGGGATGAACCATGTAGCTCATATATCCAATTTTGGTACGTTCCGGTAAGTTTTTGCATTTGAAGGTTATTGCTACAGTTGTACTGATTTCTTTCCTGCCATTTCTATTGGATTGCAAACGCTTCACCTCCGTCACCATTTCGTTCATTATCTGTGTTTTTAATACCTCGTCTGATAAGGACATGGGCACCCCTGTGATCACTCCTTTAAGTTGCTTAAGTTCGCCTGGTACGTGACATTTAACTGCTGCACCACCAAACTCTCTGATTTTTAATGCAGCCTCTTGTTGCTTTTTGTCAACACAGAAAAGGAGGACACGATTGTTTGATAAGTACCTTGCTGATTTAATGTTACCAATCGACTTTTTGATTATTTTTGTAAATCTTATCGGATTGTTGATGTTTTCGATCATTCCAGAAAATGTGACAATTACTTTGTATTCCACCTCCACTTCCCTCGCCTTAATTCCTCCTAACTCTATATTGTTGTCATCCGACTCGGACTCTCTATTTTTTTTCCGCTTGTTTGAAATCTGAGAGCATCCCTCACTTCCAGTTATTGAAGAATCATCTTCTTCATCCATGCTACCTGCATCCATCCTCTCCAGTCTCAGCACAGTTGATGCTAACCCGCCAAAACATTCCTAGCCACTCTCCTCCTGTGTGTCATCGCAATCATCAGTCATCGTCGTCTACTTCTTCTTTTGTGTATTAGCGGTTGGCAAGCTTTTAGGAGCATTACCATCACCATCTGAGCTGGAGTGTGGAGCAGCAATGAGGAAGGACTCTTACATAATTTATTTAATTAATTACTTAATTAATACCAAAAAAAACGTCATACAAATAAATAAAAAAATAAACACAAAAATGACTAAATACAAATAATTAACTTGAAAGTATAAAGTCACATGTTTGTAACAAACAAGCCTCAGTCTGTTTACACCAATGAGATGAGCTTTAAATGACAATTTACAGATCTGAAGACATCAGCATAATAAATGAGCTGAAAACAGGGACTGTTGACATGAAAGAAAGAAAGTGTGTTTTCAGCAGCTCTGTTAATATTGATGAGTCTCAGACGATCAACACATTCAGATCATCAGCAGATCATCTCACTTTATTCTGAGTGTTTGCTGTTAGAAACTGATTATATAAGATACAAGCCTATAAAACATGCTCTACTGAAAGATAATACTGTTATTTCTCACAATAGCCGATCAAACATCAATAATAACACAACAATACATCAACAATAACACAAACACTAATGACACTCATCTTCATCAAACTACAGCAGTCCATATGAATCTAAATATAGTCTGCTTTTATGATAACTACATTCATTTCAATAATGAACTTACAAACCCGATTCCAAAAAAGTTGGGACACTGTACAAATTGTGAGTAAAAAAGGAACGGAATAATTTACAAATCTCATAAATTTATATTTTATTCACAATAGAATATAGATAACATATCAAATGTTGAAAGTGAGACATTTTGAAATGTCATGCCAAATATTGGCTCATTTTGGATTTCATGAGAGCTACACATTCCAAAAAAGTTGGGACAGGTAGCAATAAGAGGCCGGAAAAGTTAAATGTACATATAAGGAACAGCTGGAGGACCAATTTGCAACTTATTAGGTCAATTGGCAACATAATTGGGTATAAAAAGAGCCTCTCAGAGTAGCAGTGTCTCTCAGAAGTCAAGATGGGCAGAGGATCACCAATTCCCCCAATGCTGCAGCGAAAAATAGTGGAGCAATATCAGAAAGGAGCTTCTCAGAGAACAATTGCAAAGAGTTTGAAGTTATCATCATCTACAGTGCATAATATCATCCAAAGATTCAGAGAATCTGGAACAATCTCTGTGCGTAAGGGTCAAGGCCAGAAAACCATACTGGAT